ATATAGCTTGAAGTCTGGAATTGTGATGCCATTAGCTTTTTTCCCCCCAACAATCTTTTGGTTATTTGGGGTCTTTTCTGGTTCCATACAAATTTTAGGATTATTTTTTCCAGCTCTGTGAAAAATGTTGATGGTATTTTGATAGAGAATGCGTTCAATGTGTAGATTGCTCTGGATAGCATAAACATTTTAACATAATGTTCTTCCAAATCATAAGCATGGAATGTTTTTCCATTTCTTTGTGTCTTCCTCAATTTCTTTTATAAGTGTTCTACAGTTTTTGGAGTACAGATCCTTTTACTCTCTTAGATATCTTATGGTTTTTGGTGCAATTGTAAATGGGGTCAATTCCTTAATTTCTCTTTTTCCTCTCTCATTGTTAGTGTATAAAATGCAGCTGATCTCTGTGCATTGATTCTTATATCCTGCCACTTTGCTGAAGTCCTATATGAGTTCTAGCAATTTTTGGGTCAAGTCTTTTGGGTTTTCCACATACAGTATTGTGTCATCTGTGAAGAGTGAGAGTTTGACTTCTTTGTTGATTTGGATACCTTATTTATTATTTATTAATTAATTTATTTATTTATTTATTTATTTTTGTTGTCTGATTGCTGAGGCTACGACTTCCAGTGCAATGTTGAACAACAGTGGTAAGAGTGGACATACCTGTCATGTTCCTGACCTTAGGGGAAAAGCTCTCAGTTTTTCCTGGTTGAAATTGATATCCACTACGGGTTTTTCACATATGGGTTTATGGTACTAAGGTATACTAGATACACATACTTGCTATCTTCAAAATAGTTATATAGATCCAAAGTAGAAGGCTGATCCAATTGGCAATTCTTTTTCACCTAATGCTTGACTATTCGTACCCATTCCAACTTTCTTGTCTAATTTTGACTGCAGCTTTGAAGTGTGTATGAATGGACTCAGCTTTGTAGACACAAGCAAATGATCCTTTACCAAATAGATTTCCAACTTTCAAATATCCCATCTTCTCTCCCATACAGGACATATATTTCCAGACATTGGCTTTACTCTTACAAAGCTCAGTTCCAATTAGGCTAAGTTTCTATGGCTACAGTTCCAATGGCAAAAACAGCCACAAAAATGTCTCCAGGACATCTCCCAAATCAGGAGTGTGCCTCTGAGCTTCCATAGAGGATTGGTTGACCCAATAGAAGTAATGGGAACAAAAGTTCCATCCTACTTCCACTACTCTCATTATTACAACATAATAAAAAAATCACGAATGAGTTGGAAATTTGGGGGAAAGCCCAAGAATCAAGCACTCAATATTATTGAGCAAAGTTCCTGTGTATGGACATTTTTTTCCCTTTAAAAAGTTTTTTTTAAATTTTTATTTATTTATGATAGTCACACACACACACACACACACAGAGAGAGAGAGAGAGAGAGAGAGAGAGAGAGAGAGAGAGGCAGAGACAGAAGCAGGCTCCATGCACTGGGAGCCCGACATGGGATTTGATCCCAGGTCTCCAGGATCGCGCCCTGGGCCAAAGGCAGGCACTAAACCACTGCACCCCACCCAGGGATCCCTTCCTTTAAAGGAGTTTTCCTATGTAGTGGTTTGACATATTCTGGAGTCAGTTTGCCTGGGTGTAATTCTGGGTATCTCTTTGCCATACACTAGCTGTGTAGCTTTTAAAAGCCTCTGAACTCAATTGGGTCTTAATCCTTAAAAGTAGCTAGTACTTGTTTCATTGGCTCATTGAAATAATTAAGTAAATTGATATATGTAAGCTCTAAATATTTTCAGAGGCATTGGAGAGGGATTCATACGTTGTATGGGCTGTGTATCTCTGAATTGGCAAGAACCTTAGAGACCACCAAGTGTCTGTTTATATGCCGACTTTTTAGCCTATCTGAACTTCGAATTTTTCAATTGTTTATTGTTACATGAAACAATTCTGTGGAAATAAATAAATTCCTATCCTAAGAACTGTCTCTCTGTACATTAACTCTTATAGAATGGTATGAGGAGTTCAGAATGCTATGAATTGAGTAATATTCCCTCTGTATCATGTAATATTATATTTGATATATTAGAGTGAGAAAAATACGATATGAATTATATGTAAGGAAATTCAATCATTTATTGTGCAAAAGTTAATTATAGAAGGAAGGGTGAAAGGAATAATTATTTTTCTGAATCCTTGATATGAAAAATACACATATTTTCAGGTAACTTTTCCTCACTTAGGGAAAACAACATGTAGGGAATATACCACTGTACACTTCTGCTTTTACGAAGACAGATTGGGATGGGATGGAAATATCATTAATTCTATTCAAATAGATCCCATGTTACTAAGAATTCATTTAATCTAGCTAAAGGCTTCTTTTATGGTAGTAGACTACCTTTATCTTCCAGTAACTCCATGACCCTTGTCCCAGGAGCTCTCACTGTGATGAGCAGAGGCCACATGACATGGATGCAAGAATAGCAGGACTTCTTAACATATCCTGTATTTTGTTGTACATCTTCCAGTCCAGATATGAGTGACTTAGAAGAAATGCAGGAATTATGATTTCTATTATTCGGACAGATAGAAAAGAATAGCTTCTGAGAAATGAGCATCTACACTCTTTGTGGAGAATTTGAAGCCCAGTTTCAGTCTGTCTACTAGCTATCAGACAACAGTGGTATGTGAGACAATGCCCCTTGCTTCTCCTTCCCCCATCTACTTTTCATCCCCCAGGTCAGATATATGTGATGTTCTTAAAGAGAAGATGTGAGTGCAGAGTCTGGCTGAGGGGATCAAAGATGATTTGCATGTCAAGCTGATTCATCGCTAATTAGGTGAAACCAACTCTGGAGGAGAAACTCTTGATGTGGTATGTAGCTGTGGAGCCAGAGTGATCAGAACAGAAGACAGGACAGAAAAAAACCTTAACTCAGAGCCAGTAAATGATCCTTAGTAATTTACTTACTGATATTCTAGTAGTACTTTATAGTTTTCTAAGACTTTAGCACTATATTTTGTTCAGTAGTAATCTTGTGAATGAGGAAGGGCAAGAATCATTATGCTTATTGTACAGAAATACAAAGTGACTTGCCTGAGGTCACAAAGGTGATAGATGCAAAAAATGGAACCCACCTCTTGGTCTCCTGACTCCCAGTTTAGTGCTTTCTGAACTGCATCAATTCCTAAGACACGATGATCTTTCTGGCCAACCCTAAAAATTATGTACATATATGTATTTGGTCTGCAGGCATACATTCATGCATGCATACTTTTTTTCTTTTTTGAGAGAGAGAATGCAATGTGCACTGCATGCACACACTAGCAGGAAGTGGGGAGGGGCAGAGGAGAGGGGGAGAGAATCTTAAGCAGGAACCACACCCAGCATGGAGCCTAATGTGGGCCTGGATCTCATGACTAGGAGATCATGACCTGAGCCCAAGTCATAAGTCCGATGTTTAACTGACTCAGCTACACAGGCAGCCTCATATTTTTTTCATTATAAACTTATATATGCTCATTGCAAAAACACTGACAGGAGAATAAAGAAGAAAATGTGTCCTATGCACTTAAAAACTATTACTATATTTTCTTCAGAACCAAGTGAAATTTTGCTATGAGTGGGGAGATTTCATCGGGTTAGAGTGAATTTGAAAAATAATGTTAAAGTAGTTTGACCTTAGAAATATGTTATTACATTTCCTTCCTTGAATCTGCTTGTGTGCATTCAACCCATCTCCTCAGAGCTGGGTTTTTTTTTTTAATATTTTATTTATTTATTCATGAGAGACACACAGAGAGAGGCAGAGACCCAGGCAAAGGTAGAAGCGGGCTCCTGCAGGGAGCCCGATGTGAGACTTGATCCTGGGTCTCCAGGATCACACCCTGGGCTGAAGGCTGCACTAAACCGCTGAGCCACCCAGGCTGCCCAGAGCTGGTGTTTTGATAAATTGAAAGTGCTTGCTAATTCTGCACCCAGGCAAGTGTTGTGCCTTTTTTCTCTTCTCATCTTTAATAGCATATCAAATCTCTAGCTGATCATCTACTACTACCTCTTGAGATTCCAACACATCATCTCATTTTCCCTCCCTCTCCTTCCCAAATTCCCTTCCTCTTGAAACTGGTCTACATCAAGTCCTGTGACAAAGATGAGAGTTGTCAACAAACTTAAGTTCTCCCATTTATAAATAATTGTGTGATCCTTTTTTTAAAATATATTTTTTTAGATTTTTATTTATTTATGATAGGCACACAGTGAGAGAGAGAGGCAGAGACACAGGCAGAGGGAGAAGCAGGCTCCATGCACCGGGAGCCCGACATGGGATTCGATCCCGGGTCTCCAGGATCGCGCCCTGGGCCAAAGGCAGGCGCCAAACCACTGCGCCACCCAGGGATCCCTAATTGTGTGATCCTAAGCAATCAACTTCATTCTTCTGAACCTCAATTTTGTTATCTTTAAAACAATCTGGCCCATATAATTCTTAAGCTCCTCTCTGCCATTCTTAGATTCCATTATTAAGTAAATTCATGCCAGACTGTGAGTGCCAGATAACCCTGACCTCCCAGGAGAAATTATGTTTCAAAAGTGACCTCTTCTTGTTAGTCCAGATTAATGTAATCATGAGGTCACTCAATCTTTTAAATATTCATTCAACCAATATTTGCAAATTATCTTCTAAGGTCAGAGAATGGATGGGCCAGTAAACAGTAGACTATCCCTGGCATCATGAAGCTTATAATGTAATAAGAATAGAGACAAGTACACAGGTAATTATAAACAAGCATGCTATTACTATAGGGTGAGTACAGGAACCTATTAGCCATGCTTAAAGGGTTGAAGTGTAGACTGAGTCTCATCTGGAAGAGTAATTTTAGTTGTGAATAAAGCAAATCTTAGACATTTAATTATATCACACAAAATTTTATTGAATTTCATCATTCTAATTACAGAATATAGATTATAATACTTCTAATATAATTTTTCTTATTATATTTATACAAGGAAGACACAGATATTGGAAAAACATTTTGAAATCTTTTATAGGTACTATTAAAACATTGTTGTGTACTATTAATTCATGGGTCTGATATCATGAGCAGTGACACTAATATATACAGACCTCTTCATCTTGACAAAATGTGCCCTTGTTTGAGTTACATTAATGATCTATCAGCAGGAATTTCTCAGTTGTAGTTCTTACACTCTTCAGGAAATCCATGGCATTAGTGCCTCCAGTTCCTTTATTTTTTTGTTCCGATGATTCTTCAGATGCTTGATTCTTCTTGGGCTGCTGGCTTGCAGGAATCACAATGTACTTAGCTACTATCTTTAAGTGATATTTTCTCAGGGAGACCATAGCTTTCACACACTCATTATAATCTGCCTTCAGTTCAATATCATCTCTTGAACGAACAAACTCACGGACTGAGGGGCCTGACTTTAACAAGAGAAGAAAGTCCCGGTGAGCTGGTGGCATATAGTTTCTCATTTCCTGGAGGAATTCAGCAGCAAATTCTATAGGAACAAGAGAGAGATTAGTTAGTAGGGAAGCCTAAGCATTCCCCAATCTAGGTGAGAAAGGCAGAGTGAGGACAGTGAGTAGGAGATCACACATCACCATGGAAGCATGAGGAAATGAGTTTACCACCATCCTGTTAGGATTGTTAGGCTATTAGTCTTGCTACGAGTAATGCCGTTTACTGTAATATTTACTTAATTCTGAAAACCACCTGAACTGAACTCATTCTTCATAATAAACTTTTTTGTGTCCTTTCTCATTTCCCTACTGTATTTGATCCTTCTAAAAAGCAGATGATATAGACAGGGTGCATGTAATCTATACTTGAAAGATCATGACACTGAGTCCAAGAGAGTTTAAAGGATAACTTTTAAATAAATGAATTAACTAAGAAAAAAAAAGCATATTTACACCCATGCCAATGCTTTTCCCTTTGACTATTAAGTAGAAGTTTAGGAGAACAGAGAAAAGTACAAAGTTCTTACTGGAGCTTCTTCTGCCCATTCTAAACCCCTAGAAGAAATATAATCAGTGTGGTTCATCTTTCAACTTTGGTGCATCTTTAAAATTTGAACTGCTGGGGTTCCTGGGTGGCTCAGTGGTTGAGCATCTGCCTTTTGGATCAGGTGGTGATCCCAGGTTCTGGGATCGAGTCCCATATCATGCTTCCTGCAAGGAGCCTGCTTTTCCCTCTGTCTGTGTCTCTGCCTCTCTCATGAATAAATAAAAAAAACCTTAATAAAATAAAATAAAATAATTAAATTAAATGAAAAAATTTGAACTGCTATTGGAGTAAGACAGCTGAGCAAGAGCAGTGCCAAGCCTCGCCTTGTCACTGAGGTTTCCACCTCCCCAACTTTAGCTCAGAGTTCCATCCCATTTGCAGGGTGGCTTTCTTTTTCTGAATCTGATTATACATCTTTAGAACATGTGCTATGGGCTTCACCACAGTCCATCAGGTCTTATATACATGCCCAAATGTCAAGATTGAGATAGTGATGAACTTGAGTTTTGGTTCTGGCTCCATTGCTTTCAAGCTGGTTAATAAGGAGCCCATCGCTTATCCTCTAAAGAAACTTGGAAATTTCTGCTTGATTGTCTGTGAAATGGGATGATAACAATAAAGTCTTGCTTCCTGATTCTTCTAAAAGTATCAGATAAGTTCAGATGAAATGCTGATGGGAAGTTACTTTTCATATATTAAAACACTTTTGTATTAACGTATGAGGTGATTGACATTTGTCATTATCCACTCACCTTCACCAGAACACTGCTGGATGCCCAGCAGAATGTCAAAGCATTGAAAGATGCTGCTTTGGGCTGCACTGCCTCCTGCAAACTTTTTTGGGTTTTCCCAGAAACCTTCATACTTCAAACCCTCTGGCAGTTGGGAGTTGCCTTTCCAACTAGGCCAGGAAGGGAAAAAAACAAAACAAAACCAAACAAAACATCATTATTTGGAGAATTGACAAATTTTCAGGTATAGAATCTTATAATAGAGGATGAATGGAAAGTGACATGAAATCGGCTTCATTATTCTTCTTCCACACTCCCTTTCCATTCATGTTCATGTTTGAGAATGACAAATAACATGGTTCTGAGCAAATTTGGAATAAATATTCTAGAATTGGAACTTTACCTTTGCACTAGCAAAGATTATTCCCCTGACATCCCTGCTTTTTTTTTTTTTTTTTTACCTAAATGACTAGCCTTCCTGTCCATACTCCAGTGCATGACTGGCCGAATAATAACAGGGAACAGTCTAATCTTTCTCTACAACATGTATTTTATCATATGAAATTATTTCCTAAATTCAATGGATAGTGGGGACCATCAGTGAGAATTTGATGTTTTCTTTATATTAATTGTTTAAAAGAAAACAAATTTAAGCATGAGATTACATACCCAGACAAGTATATGCGAAGAACATTGAAAAATGTGCTTGGGTCCACATGTTCTGTAAAAAGATGAAGTGTGTTTAATTAAGCAGTTATCAGAACTTTCAGAGGAGATCAAGATATTGTAAACAACTGATAGTGGGTTTCAGCTTAGGCTGCAGGAAGGGCATTAGGTCAGTCAGTCCATGAAGGAAAATGTCCCTGAGGACAAGCTCTCACTCACCTGAGAGTTCATGGGGAACTGAACGGGGCCTACTTCCGTGTCCACTGAACAGGGCCTACTGACCCCTAGGGCTGACACACAGCTTGTGTCAAGGAATCAGGAGACCAATTAAACTGTCAACTGTCAATTTTTTTAAAGCTATTCATTTGCTTACTGATAAAAACAGATACTACTCACATAAAGAAAGAAACAAACCTAAACAAAATGAAACAAGAGCCCCAGGAGCCCTGTGGACACCATCCCTGGGTCTCCCTTCCCAAAGGTTACTAACTTTTCTGATTTAAAGGTTGATCTTTTTGCCAAGGACCCATCAGCAGTAACTCAAAGCTCAGTGATACATAGTCATGTACTTGTTAAGGCTGTTAAGCAGGGCACATTTTTTTTTTTTTGTAAGTCCTTGTTTACATACTTAGTTATTGCCATATTTTAACTATTAACTTCGTAATAACTTTTGAGCTCAGTGGCTTTTCTGTGCAGTTTCTTACTTAACTTATGAAAAAACAGAATTTGTAGGAAGGTCCTATAAAGCAGAAGCTAAATATTTCGGTATTTAAAACAGCCTGAACTTTCTGCAAATTTCTCCATGGTTTCAGTGGGAGGCAATGACATTATTTTGAGTTAAATAGACCCAGCTTGAAAATTTACTAATTTAAGTAACCTCGGGTCACTTATCTTATCTCTCCATTAGATTACCTTACCCATAAAATACACACAATAAAACCTACAAGAAAGTATAATTATTTAGTGAGTTAAAGTGAAAACACACTACCTAAGTGAAAGTTTTTCCTTCCATTTTCTCAACAATTCTAGTCTCAGAAAATCAGAAGCATGTGATTGCCAGCCTTGAATGTTTATGGGCATATAATACTTACTATGAACTTCTTCAAACTCTTCATGGGCTCGGTGCAGACAAGAAGCTATATAATGCAGTGCCTTCTTCAAAGTGACCTCGTCCTGATTTTTAACTGCCTTTAATAAATTGGGAATTACCTTTAAAAAAAAAGATGAATATTTAAGGTTTCTTAGCACTAAATATTGGTATAGAATAAAATTCTAATTCTTAATCTCTAAGTTAAATGTAGGATTTCCACTTCATTTTTAGGCTGATTATACTTTTATTGTTTGACTAATTTCCTTATAAACTTGGGTTTATGTTTATTTATTTACCATTTAAAGTCTATAAAGTTTTATATAGTTTTATCTCTTTTCTAATACTCAAAACCATTAGATTTATGTCACTGTTATCTAGTTCCAATGCCAAATTTTATTAAAAATGCATCTCTCCTATTGAGGTTTCAAACTTAATTCTAAATATATGGGTCTTGGGACACCTGGGTAGCTTAGTTGGTTAAGCATCCAAATATGGATTTTGGCTCAGGTCATGATCTCAGGGTCCTGAGAGTGCTGGGCATGGAGCCTGCTTAAGATTCTTTCTTTCCCTATTCCCCTTCCCACTTGTATTCTATCTCTTAAAAAAAATTAATTAATGTGTCTTATGTTTTATATTTTAGGTGATACATAAAATAAATTAAATATTTCTACCAGATGATCCCTTACATCCAATTAAGTAATTGAATGCTGTATTTAGTCAAGATAAAATTATTTCATGCATAATATAGTTCAGTTATTAAATGATTGCTCTGCTTATGCAAATAGAGATAAAAATTTGCTTGTAGATATGGACGTACTTTGATTGCAGAAGCAGCTGCTAATTCCACCAATAGTGAAACCAGGAAAAATCCTTTACTGCAGTCTCCACCAGGAAACCAGAAGAGAATGTCCATGTTCCTAAGAAAATAAGTCAAGGGAGTCAAGAATTTAGCAAAAATTCTGGCATATTTAAGTGTTGTAGTTTTACATATTTTTATTCCATTTTAGCTTCAAAATAATCTTGTGGGATAAGTATTTTAGGTTTTACTATCTCCATTACATTATCGGGAATATCAGTGTTAGGTCTGTTGCCTAAGATCTGATAGCAGATTAAGTTGGACTTGAAATCCCATTTTAGAGTTTGGAACTAGAAATTCCAAGACCATTTCTGTTTCTATTTTCTCATTAATTTTTCACATGCATATATATTACCATATTTATATATTTATATATATAATACTTATAAAGACATTTGTGAGGTATAATTTTAAGTAGTCTTTTTGCTTTAAATATATTCATATCCGTATTTTTATTTATGAACCTATTTCAGTTTTTCAGTGGTTTATCTGCTTTACAAAGGAATGGGGAAATGCAAATAGCTGATTAGACCTGATTTATTCTTTCTTTCTTTCTTTCTTTCTTTCTTTCTTTCTTTCTTTCTTTCTTTCTTTCTTTCTTTCTTTCTTCTTTCTTTCTTTCTTTCTTTTCTTCTTTCTTTCTTTTTCTTTCTTTCTTTCTTTCTCTTCTTCTTTCTCTCTCTCTCTCTCTCTCTCTTTCTTTCTTTCTTTCTTTCTCTCTTTCTCTTTTTTTCTTTCTTCCTTCTTTCGATTTATTTCTTTACTTGAGAGAGAGAGAGAATGAGAGAGCACGAGCGGGGGTAGGGGTAGAGGGGGAGAGAGAATCTTAGACTCTGTGTGGAGCATGGAACCCTATGCAGGGCTTTATCTCACAACCAATGAGGTAATGACCTGAACTGAAACTGAGTGAGACACATAAGCCTCTGAGCCACCCAGGTGCCCTCCATTTTCTTTTTAATTGAAGTTTGGCGCTAGTGCCAACAAAGGCTCACTATCTATAAATCTATGAAGTTCATGGTGGTTAAATTCATGGTCTCTGAAAAAGCCAGATCATTTCTGCAATTTACTTGCTGTGTGACACTGACCAAGATATTTCATGTTTCTGACTCACTGTTCTCATCTGTAAAACAGGACTGATGATATTATCCTCCCATTTAAAAACCTCCCATAACTTCCCATTGATTTTAAGATACTATTTAAACCCCTCATCATAGCTGAAAGTCCTACATAATCTTTTTGCTAAGTTTATTTCTTCTTCCCTTTTCCATACCACTTACTCCTAGCAGTTACTACTTATCAGCGGCCTTAGTCTTCCTTCAGTTCTGATAATGCATGAAGATATTCATCACTTCAAGGCCCTCACTCTTACTGTTTCCTCCACTATGAACAGTAATCTTTTCCTTCTAGCTAATTCCTTCTGACTGACTCTTTGGAACTCAGCTTAAATAACTTGCTGCAGGGATTACTTCTTCATCACTTTTATTCAGCTAGAGTTCCCAGCACTTTATCCTCTCACCTTTCTCTTAATCATAAAGCAATATAATTACATAATTTTCCTGTATCTGCTTTCTTCACTAGGACAGGCTTATTCCTATATTTACCATGGTTTCCCTAGCTCTTAGCCTCTGCTCAGTTCATGACTTAAAAATAGTAAGGATTGGGTAATAAAGAACAGGTATATATAGATATCTGGCCACTGAAGTCATCAAGTCAAAGACATACAGATGTATGTGTGTTTGGATTTATGAATATTAATTACATTTTTATATATGCAAGTGCTAGTTTTGTATATATCTATAGCTATAATATCAAACTGAAACAGTCCTGTCAGTCATAAATCTAAATAAGGATTGGGATTATTTGCTCTTTAAACAATTACTTGAGTTATTTTTGCTTGAATTCAATTGGTCTTTTAAAAAGTACATTTAGAGGATATTGATAAACCTATACTCAGTTTGAATACCAATTCTTATAATAAAATAAGAATCAAATACTTACTCATAAGTCATAGGCCTTGTGAAAGCAGCCATGAAGCAATGGATCAGTTGGAAGAGAAAAAGAAAATCAATTTAAAAATCAAATGGTTTTGAGTTATTCATATCCCATTTAATACTACTGCTCTATTAAAGGTAAGATATAGATAAAAAAGAGAATATATGTGTGTTTTTAAACAGTATTTATCAGGCATTGCAAACACTTTGTAAGTAAAAAAATTAAATATTCAAGGAACACCATGTTAGTCAAAATTAGTTTTTACTAATAAACTTTTTTTTATTTAAATTCAATTAGCCAAAATATGGTACATCATTAGTTTACATCTACAATTAGATGTAGATTTCAATAATTCATCAGTTGCATATAGCATCTAGTGCTCCTCATATCATGCAACCTCCTTAATGCCCATCACCAGTTGCCCCATTCCCCTATCCACCTCTCCTCCATCGAACCTCAGTCTGTTTCCTATAGTTAAAAGTCTTTCAGCATTTGTCTCCTTTTCTGAGTACTTCTCATTCTTTTCTAAATCAAATCCTTTCATTTTATGGTTCTGTGTCTATAGTACTTGGCAAATCACACCCAGACCCCTGGGGCACCATAAGTCTCTGGTCCCTTTGTTGTAACAGAGCATATTGCTAAAAGGAGAGGAGAGAGGCCTAGCTCCTCAGCAGGCAGCACAGAAGGCCCAGGCATTGCCATCTCTACTGCTGACAATGTATTGACTCTTAAACTTAACCACATAGTTAAAAGTCAAATTTGTAGAATCTCCAAAACATGTTAATTAAGAAAAGCCAGAGTACATATTCTATAATCTAATTAATATGAAATCTAATAGCAGAAAAATTTAATTTTTAATATGACAAATCAGAATATGTGTACCTAGAGGTAGAGAAGAAAATTGAATGGAAAGAGCCACAGAGGTGATATTCTGTATGTTGCTTAGGGCTATTCATGTATATAGAACAGTCAAAATCACCAGACTGAACAGTTAAGATGGTGCATTTCATTGTATGTTAATTATATACATTTCTCTCATATATCTGTAGTTATAGAGATGCCAGCAAAAGAAATCATACCCCTAAAGCAGAGAAGAAAGCTGTGCTGCTGAAAATTCAACCAATGACTAATGCCCTATTGATGTAAATAGCATGCATTTCTATTGTTCCTGTTGTACTTAGAGTTCACATACCCATTGGGATCCTTTTTCTTCCAGTTTGCTAAGACACAGTCTGCATAAACCAGAATAGGAGGCAGACCCAGCTTCTCAGAGAGTTCACAGTAAGGAATAGCAATATTCTGTGGCAAGACCTAATGAAAACACAAAATTTGGTATTAACCTTTGAAGTGCCTTACCTTTTCTTCTGTCTTCTGCTACCTCCCAGCTACCTCTTCTGCTACCTTTCCAACTTCCCGATTAGTGCCAAAACATTAACTATTCTACATAATGGCACTCTGAAACCAAACAATCATAATTTTCTCTTCCTCATTTCATAACTTTGTCCTGGTAATTATTAAATGTTTATGTTTTAGATGTAGGTTGATGTGGATATAATCTAATCAGAGAGAGGAAAAAGAGGTAGAGGGTACAAGAAACAAAGGATGTATCCTTGACTTTCTAATGACCTGGGATTACTTGCAGTCATTTATTTGTGCATCCATCCCATGAATATTTTTAGGCAACTCCTCTATGAAGAGCTCTTTTTCTGTAAATACAAGTTTAAAATCAATTGTCTCCAAGAAGTGCAAAGTCATTTGTAGTTATAACTTTGGGATATGGTACATACTAGAACCATAACCAGTTTGCTGCCCTTGGAGCATAGTGCTGACAGAAACTCTCCCCTGGATGGTTTTTTAGAAAGTCTCACCATAGAAGATGTTGGAGCTCATCCTTGAAGACTTACTTATATCAGCAGGAAGAATCTCCTTTAGCCTTCCTTTCTATTTCCATGCAGAGTAGGTCAATTGGAGTGACACTCTTGGCTCTTTCACTCACCTTTCCTCAGAGGAGGTATAGAGGCTAATCCAATTGTTGTGTGTGGAGGGGGACCTTAGCTCAGCAAACTTTGTCTTTCCCTGTGCCTATTACTCAGGATTCTAGTCTGTGTCTGGCCACACTCTAAAAGGCTCCTACCCCCATGGACAGTCCTGATGGATAAGTGCTTTCCTAGCAGGCCCATTGTTGCCACACATGTAAGCCATGTTTTCCAACTGTGCTATTAGTTATAATGCTGATGTTTTATTCTTTACCTGCCTGACTTCCTCATCTAAGTATCATTTGGTTTGTAACTAGAGGGTTCCATGTAATAATTAAGGTCACTCTTGTCATCAGCAGCCAGTTGTTGGAATATGTGTATCTAACCAGGCAAAGGACAGGGATGTGTGACTTATCTGGGGTAGTGGGAAGTGGAACTGTGGTGGTAGAGGTGATATGACAATGTGGCACACTCCACAGTTTTCTGCAAAAATCATGAGAGCTATAACCTAAATGGCTCTGTATTAACTTAATACACCTGAAGATGATGGTTTAACAGAGAACAAAATGTTAGAAAGAGAAACATTGGGATCCCTGGGTGGCTCAGCGGTTTAGCGCCTGCCTTTGGCCCAGGGCGCGATCCTGGAGTCCCGGGATCGAGTCCCACGTCTGGCTCCTGGCATGGAGCCTGCTTCTCCCTCTGCCTGTGTCTCTGCTTCTCTCTCTCTCTCTCTGTGTGTCTATCATAAATAAATAAATAAATAAATAAATAAATAAATAAATAAATAAATCTTTAAAAAAAAGAGAAAGAAAAACATTGGCTATCAAAGTAACACCTGGATGTGTGCTTCCCTTGTAGAACTTTTGTCTTTGGGAATTGAATATTTTGGTTTGCAAGTGATTGATTTTACATGTTTCAAATGGAAATTTTTGTCTCTTTCTGATTTAAAGAAAAGATCTAAGGGAATCAAAAGGAAAGATGCTTAATGAAAAAGTTAATATGAAATGACGGGAAAAAGAAAGGAAATGTTGAAACACATCTTAATCTATTAAAGACATTTATGCAGTTACTAAGAAACTCAGATGCTAGTTCCTAGCTCATTCTCAAGCAAAATGTGCCTTATATTGATATATCTTATTTTTTATCAATTTTTTCTTTCCCACAATATCCTCATTTAAATAGTTATATATATGTACATATATATATTATAATTTCCTCATCAAACTATATTTGTTGGTGGCTTCTAAAATCCTTTTTAGAATAATGTGGTTTACAAAAACTAGATAAATTAAAAATATATTTTCATGTATTCTTTGTAATTCTGATCTCCAATAATAAATATATTATCTTTGATTATCCCATGTACATTCTGGTCTCCATATTTTTTGCTAGTCTTCTCTCTCTTTTCTGCTCCTTTCCTTTTTGGATAAGCTCTACCAATCTTTCAAGAAGTAGTTCAAGTCCCACTTCTTCCTTGAAGCATTTCATTATTATACCAACGACTCTTTAGCTATTCTGGGCTCTAATACTTCTACACCTAGCATATGCTGTCCTTTTTTATTGATGATCTTTCTATACAATTCTTACATATTTAGCTAGAGCCAGATTCTAGCAAGTCTAGTGAGACTGTGTGCTTAGGTTGTAAGGCTTATCTTAAACCTTTTTGCGTCATTAAAAATCTAGACATGATAGTTTGATGATTATAAAGAAATATAAGATGTCCCCATGATTATGTAGAATGACATTTTCTTTTTGTTTACATATCAGAGGATGACATATCATAGATGAACAATATGTCTTTTTCTATATTTACACAGTATGTGAAAAGACAAACAAGATAAAATTCCGATTACCTTTGTCAAAAAGGAAAAAAAAAATTCCTTAAATGGCAGAAGGTCCTTCTGGAGTCTTTTTTATCTCTTTGCAGTTTAAAGATTAGGTATTACAATCTGTATTGGTTTCATGTAATTAGGATTGCCAGATAAAAAACAAGATGTTATTATTTTAAATCTAAAGTTATCTACTGTTGATGAGAGTAGGGTAAAACCCATATATTCTTACATGCTGACAGAAGATAACACTTTAATATTAAGTAAAAAGAGGCATAAAATGTTCATATCACCCAAAACTCATAGAGAAAATGTTTTGTATTCAAATATATTGATTATAGTGTCATTTACAATGGTAAAATTTTAAAAACAAGTACAGATTTATCAATAGAGGATTGAATAAATAAAGTTGAGGAATTCAGTGAAAAACTACAGTCATTTCAAATGATGACTAGAAGGATAGTATAGGAACTAAGAAATGCTTACAATGTAATTTCAGTAAAAGACACAGAACATACATCTATATACACAGGATGGAGGAACTGTGTTACACAAGTAAAAGATTAAAAATCCAATAATGATAGCAGTTGGAATGTTAAAGCATTAAATGATTGTTTTCCTTTTTATTTTTTTCTGTTACCTGTTAAAATTTAGTTGTAATACTTTTAGAATGTTTTTTACATTAAATTGGATGTAAAAAAAATTGGATGTAAATTGTCATGTAGCATAAGAAATATCATAAAATCTCCAAACCTTTCGAACATCTCCATCACCTTGATTCCACACATATGCCATGGTGATATACCCCAGAGCCAGACGTGCAAGGCGCTGCAACTTGTGTCCACTGAGGCCATCAATACTGAGAATTTTTAACTGAGAATAAAAATAGAGGTTGACCCAAATCAATATAGGTGACAGTACAGCTTCAAAGCCAAGTTAAAAATTTTAAGAAGCAATGATAGAGGAAGACAAATGTAATGCTCTTCCAAACCTCATCAACTTTTTTACGTAGTTCATTTTTCTTAATCAGTTCAGGCAGATTTTTAGCAATGGAAATCCATTCATCATAAGGCGGAGGTAGCTTCTCCTTGAAAAAAAGAAATGAGATTTTTATTTAGTATTTAAAGTTTTTATAAAATATCTTTGCCTCTGATTGATAGTCTATCTTTGCTTCTAAATCAATTCTGTACCATGCTGTCCTGTCACATACATACCTGTCCAGCAACTCCAGTCCCTGCATTGCCACCTGCACACTCAGAACTCAAGATCCTCTCTTTCTCTCTTCAGACACTCTGACCTGTCTCTTTTTCACAAGTCACCTCAAAATTTTCACTAAAATTATCCTGATTATTCTAGTCTACACTTATAGCCTCAATTAGGCATCCTGTATATTATACCTTTTGATTGTTAAGTAATTTATTGTTATCTGCTATGTATTTTTTCTTCCTGACTAGATTTAAGTTTCTTTGAATGGAAGAAAAATGAGATTTATTAGATGTTAGTAATAGACTAGGCATTTTGCTCAATAATTTCTCATTTAAATATTAATGATCTACAATGTTGATTGTTATCTCCATTTCATAAATAAGGAAAACAAGGCTCAGTTTATGAAATTGTTTTGTAGATATAGTTTATTGTGATTGAACTTTTAAGTGTTTTCAGCTTTCACAAATCAATGCCCTTTTAACATCTCACTCTCTGATGGCAAGGACTTTATTGTTTTTAATTTTATATTTCTTGCAGAACCTGGGACAGTACTAAACAAGACAATACTAAACTATATTGTCTATACATATATCAATTGCCTGCTTTGGGACAATAGGCTTAAATTTTACCCAGTAAGTACAAATAAAAGCCAAACGAAAGTGTTTCCTTGGATCTTATCATATTTGTACTTTCATTTCAAGGGAAAATATTCAAACAAAAGACCTAGACAACAGCTCTCAATGAGATTAACATCCCTAAACAACTTCCCATATGCTTTTTCCCTATACTTCCTTCGTTAAGCTGTTTCCCGACATATCCTTAAGGTCAATACTGAACTATGGGGACACAGCAAAAGTAGAGATTAACTCAAACCAACGCAGGAGAAGCTTCAAGCTACAAAACAAAGTTAATAAGTAAACTATAAGATAAAAGGGCAACTGTAACATCAAATTCAAATATTTTCAGGGGCTGCAGATAATTAGTGACTGTATACTCACTAGAGAGTCACCTTTCTTGTTTCTTGGAATTTTTCTCTCTAACCACACAAAAGTTGTACTCGAGTGTTTTTAGTAATACATATATCTCTTTTCGTTGTGTGTCTTACTATGTAGCACAACTGAATTTTTGGTTGTTACTATTTTCTCCAAATAAAGGAATTTTTTGTTGTTGTTATATATCATGATTATCCTATTTGACTTTCAACAGATGTAAAATTCAATCAATAATATGCTCTGGTCATAGAATGTTTGAATGGTATAATATAAATCAATGACGAGTGAAACAGAAAGTCATTCAATTTCTGCTAGATTAGAGAATGTATTTGGTATCTATGTGGAATTAGAAGACACATTATTTTCCTTTGGAATAGAAAGCTGATAGATTATAGAGGTGAAGTGGACTTTTTTGAGTTTATAATCTCAGGGAAAGATCTTCAGTGAAGAAATAAAAGTAGCCTTTAATTTATCTCTCTTGTTTCAGGACATGATCTAATTTCCTAAACAACTTAGGTAGCAACATTATTTTTTAAGTAGTTCAGGAAGAGTTTTGGTTTGCTTTTGTTTGGGGGTTTTGTTTTCCCAAAAACTACCCCATAACCACCCGAGTCCCCATAAACTACCATAATTGTCTTAATTTTTAAGAGAACTTACTGTGGGGGGAGAGATCATATGAGGTTTCACAGTTTTTGAAGATTTTTGTTCTTGTACCACTGATAAGTATATTTTCAAAACCATCTTATTCTGGCATTTTGGTGTGCTTGGATGGAAGTATAGCAAGTCTGAGTATTATTGATTTCCAAATATAAAGTAAACTAGTTGCTATTAGCAATAACATTAAACTAACTTAATAGTTTGAAGAGAAGAATTAAATCAGGAGAAGAATTTGTTTAGATTTGTCTGTATTACACAAGGTGTTTACAGGATGTTATTTCTAAGTACAGTTATATTGGATCTCTACTAAAATATATATTTGGTGCATTTAAAGATGCCATCTAGGGATGTGTGGGTGGTTCAGTCGATTGAGTGACGGACCCTTGGTTCTGGCTCAGGTCATGATCTCAGGATCCTGAAATTGAATCTAGCATTGGGCTCTGGACCCAGCGGGAGTTTGCTTGAGATTCTCTCTTTCTGCCCCTTCCTTGCTTGTTTTCTCTCCCTCTTTCTTTCTTTCTAAGATAAAAGATGTCCTCTAGAATATAGACTCTTAGCTACAATAAATAGATATATGCTGGTATACAGAATTATCACAACATAAAACTGATTCCTAGAAATCATATGGACTCTCATGAATCTTATTAAATCCAAGAGGTGGGTAGAGGGAAAACAATGCCTTATGATACCTTCTTTTCTTTTAAGAGAGGCAGCATATTATAATGGTTTTAAGATCATGGACTCTGAGGGGGGAGGGGCAAGATGGCGGAAGAGCAGGGTCCCCGAGTCACCTGTCCCCACCAAATTACCTAGATAACCTTCAAACCATCCTGAAAATTTACGAATTCGGCCTGAGATGTAAAGAGAGACCAGCTGGAATGCTACAGTGAGAAGAGTTCGCGCTTCTATCAAGGTAGGAAGACGGGGAAAAAGAAATAAAGAAACAAAAGGCCTCCGAGGGGGAGGGGCCCCGCGAGGAGCCGGGCTGAGGCCGGGGCGAGTGTCCCCAGGACAGGAGAGCCCCGTCCCGGAGGAGCAGGAGCTGCACCAACCTTCCCGGGGGAAAGGGGCTCGCAGGGAGTTAGAGCAGGACCCAGGAGGGCGGGGATGCCCTCGGGCTCCCGGGGACACTAACAGACACCTGCGCCCCGGGAGAGTGCTACGAGCTCCCTAAGGGCTGCAGCGCGCACGGCGGGGACCGACCGGAGCAGCTCGGAGGGGCTCGGGAGCGGCTCCAGGGAGGGGGCTGCGGGGCGGGAGCGCGAATCCAACAGCGCAGGCCCCGGAGCACAGGGCGCCGGGACACAGCCCAGGATCCGGCCTCCCCCGGGACAGGCAGAGGCCGGGAGGGCCCAGGACAGCAAGGACGCTCCTGCCCCGAGCTGAGCAGATCAGCGGCCCCGCCCCGGAGCCTCCAGGCCCTGCGGACGGAGAGCCGAGAGCCCCGAGCCCCGTAGTTCCTGCGGAGGCTGAATCCAGGCTTCCAGAGTTGCCATAGCAACTGCGACTGTTCCTCCTGGGGCCTGACGGGGTAAACAACCCCCGCTGAGCCCTGCAGCAGGCAGGGGCAGAGCAGCTCCCCCAAGTGCTAACACCTGAGAATCAGCACAGCAGGCCCCTCCCCCAGAAGACCAGCTGGACGGACCAGTGATACTCCCCCGTGTTCCAATACAACTTGTTTCTGGCCACTCTGCACTGAGCAAAATGACTAGAAGGAAAACCTCAACTCAAAAGAAAGAATCAGAAACAGCCCTCTCTCCCACAGGGTTACAAAATCTGGATTACACTTCAATGTCAGAAAGCCAATTCAGAAGCACTATTCTACAGCTACTGGTGGCTCTAGAAAAAAGCATTAAGGACTCACGAGACTTCATGACTGCAGAATTTAGATCCAATCAGGCAGAAATTAAAAATCAATTGAATGAGATGCAATCCAAACTAGAAGTCCTAACGACGAGGGTTAACGAGGTGGAAGAACGAGTGAGTGACATAGAAGACAAGTTAATGGCAAAGAGGGAAACTGAGGAAAAAAGAGACAATCAATTAAGGGACCATGAAGACAGATTAAGGCAAATAAATGACAGTCTGAGGAAGAAAAACCTACGCTTAATTGGGGTTCCCGAGGGCGCCGAAAGGGACAGAGGGCCAGAATATGTATTTGAACAAATCCTAGCTGAAAACCTTCCCAATCTGGGAAGGGAAACAGGCATTCAGATCCAGGAAATAGAGAGATCCCCCCCTAAAATCAATAAAAACCGTTCAACACCTCGACATCTAATAGTGAAGCTTGCAAATGCCAAAGATAAAGAGAAGATCCTTAAAGCAGCAAGAGACAAGAAGTCCCTGACTTTCATGGGGAGGAATATTAGGGTAACAGCAGACCTCTCCACAGAGACGTGGCAGGCCAGAAAGGGCTGGCAGGATATTTTCAGGGTCCTAAATGAGAAGAACATGCAGCCAAGAATACTTTATCCAGCAAGGCTCTCATTCAAAATGGAAGGAGAGATAAAGAGCTTCCAAGACAGGCAGGAACTGAAAGAATATGTGACCTCCAAACCAGCTCTGCAAGAAATTTTAAGGGGGACTCTTAAAACTCCCCTTTAAGAAGAAGTTCAGTGGAACAATCCACAAAAACAAGGACTAAATAGATATCATGATGACACTAAACTCATATCTGTCAATAGTAACTCTGAACGTGAATGGGCTTAATGACCCCATCAAAAGGCGCAGAGTTTCAGACTGGATAAAAAAACAGGACCCATCTATTTGCTGTCTACAAGAGACTCATTTTAGACAGAAGGACACCTACAACCTGAAAATAAAAGGTTGGAGAACCATTTACCATTCAAATGGTTCTCAAAATATACCCTAAAAACTACAGAACACTTCTGAAAGAAATTGAGGAAGACACAAAGAGATGGAAAAATATTCCATGCTCATGGATTGGCAGAATTAATATTGTGAAAATGTCAATGTTACCCAGGGCAATTTACACGTATAATGCAATCCCTATCAAAATACCATGGACTTTCTTCAGAGACTTAGAACAAATTATTTTAAGATTTGTGTGGAATCAGAAAAGACCCCAAACAGCCAGGGGAATTTTAAAAAAAGAAAACCATATCTGGGGGCATCACAATGCCAGATTTCAGGTTGTACTACAAAGCTGTGGTCATCAAGACAGTGTGGTACTGGCACAAAAACAGACATATAGATCAATGGAACAGAACAGAGAACCCAGAAGTGGACCCTGAACTTTATGCTCAACTAATATACGATAAAGGAGGAAAGACGATCCACTGGAAGAAAGACACTCTCTTCAATAAATGGTGCTGGGAAAATTGGACATCCACATGCAGAAGAATGAAACTGGACCACTCTCTTGCACCATACACAAAGATAAACTCAAAATAGATGAAAGATCTAAATGTGAGACAAGATTCCATCAAAATCCCAGAGGAGAACTCAGGCAACACCCTTTTTGAACTTGGCCACAGTAACCGGAGAAAGACAAACAGTGTATGTTCTCATTCATTTGGGGAATATGAATAATAGTGAAAGGGAATATAAGGGAAGGGAGAAGAAATGTGTGAGAAATATCAGAAAGGGAGAAAGAACATAAAGACTTCTAACTCTGGGAAATGAACTAGGGGTGGTGGAGGGGGAGGAGGGCGGGGGGTGGGGGTGAATGGGTGACGGGCACTGAGGGGGACACTTGACGGGATGAGCACTGGGTGTTATTCTGTATGTTGGTAAATTGAACACCAATAAAAATTAATTTATAAAATAAAAAAAAAAAAGATCATGGACTCTGGAGCCAGAGTAGTCAGGTTTGCTCACATTCTATCTCTGCTAGCTGTGTGAATTTGGGTATTACCTAAATTCTCCATTGCTTAAGTTTCTCATCAGGAAAATTAGAGATGGTTGTAAAGATGTAGTAAGAATATTTGTAAATTGCTTAAACATGCTATATAAATACTTGATAATTGAAATAGATAATAATATGGTTTTCATAACATTCTTTGATACATGACTTAGAAACATTTTCAAAGGCAAACAGCCTGCCTTCGGCCCAGGGCATGATTCTGGAGTCCTGGGATCGAGTCCTACATCAGGCTCCCTGCATGGAGCCTGCTTCTCCCTCTGCCTGTGTCTCTGCTTTCCCGCCCCCCTGCCTCTCTCTCTCTATGTCTCTCATGAATAAATAAATAAGAGTTTTTAAAAAAAGAATAAAGGCAGACATTTACTTTACATGTCTTGCTGTTTTTAGGCAAAGCTTGTAAAGAAAAGTAGTTTTAGACTTATAACAATAGGCAGTATTAATATAACACAAAGTTACTTGATATAACATCTCAAAAAAATAAAGTAGGAATGTATACTTCATACAATTTAAGTGTATCAGTCAAGAGAGTTCCTTTGACTCATGGATCATTTTTTACTTTGTTTTTTTCAAAATGTCCTCCGAAAATTTACAATTATATTAAGCTAAAATACTTGTATAATTTCCTTATCTCATCACTCTCTTTATCTGTGTAAGGTAAGTAAAATGTGCATTTAATACTAAATCTCTAGCCAGAAAATGTTAAGTATGAACCATTTATTAAAACTCTGCCTCTAATTTTGGCACTACTTTATCCAATTGTTTAGTAAAAATTACTGAACCACATATCATCAATAGAAGTTAACTTGTCCAGGTGAGTAATGATAACAAAACATTTTTGCCCATATCTCGGTACCCTGTCTTACCAGTGGATTTGGCAAAGCGAAGCCCATCTCTTCATCTATATGGTATTTTTCAAAAATTCTCTGAGGACTTTCCATAAGAAGTATTCCATCATCTTCCATGCTTGCAGTCTCCTCTTTTGGTCCTTAGTTCTGATAGAGTTTCAGAGCCTCTACTTATTATAAAGGTTGCCACAGCCTTATATGACCACAACCTTACTCATGTAGGCAGTAAGCAATGACTTCCACTTTTGAAATAGTTTCATTTTCTTTTTTTGTAATTTGATAAACAATAAAGCCACAAAAGCATCACTATTTATCATATGAAGAAACTGAAAGCTTATGTTCTTATGAAGTATTTATCACCAGGAATATCATTTGTTTACTGCCATTGGGGAAGTCGGAAAGAAACTGGAATAACAAAAACCATGAAAATAGGTAACCAGAAAAAGACATTTTTAATGGGACCTTTTAAATCTTTGAATTAATATAATGAATTTAAGCTAGGCTAAAGTCCTAAACTATCATTTAGTCAGCACTACCATAGGCTTTCCTTTAAGTTATCAGGGTTCTTTGAACATACTAATGTCTTGCTTTTGCAGCCATGAAATGCAACCTGTGATACATTGAACTAGGAAAAAAATGGAAAAACATGAGGATTAAGATAGTACCCCCTTTATGCCCCCATTTTCTTACCCAGTCTTTTATCTGTATTTCCAATGATACAGTTCTTCTTATATTCTTTATGTCATTTTCAGGAAGACTTTTCTGTATCTCTACTATATTTGACTGCTAAGCATGGATGATAAGGCAACAGCCCTTCACATTTGGAGAGTTTGCAATGTGTTAAAAGTTTAAGTAAGAGATAAAATACCTTGAAAAGTTTCATTCAGAACACAAATGAAAATTGCATTTGGTAAACGTTTTTGAAGGTGCATGCAGTTCTGTGGTCACTTATAGGTATTGTTCGATCTTACTAATAAAGCTGAAGTAAAAGCAGAAACCATATCGTTCTTTTTGATGATCAAAAGGAGAAAAGAGTTCAGGAGTTAGTGTTCAGTACATTATTAGAATGCAGCTTTGTCATCCAACTTATCAGTGCTTGAAATAACTTTTTAATGATGCATTACTTTGCATTCTAGAATAGTTCTCCCACTAGTCTTTCCTAATTACATCATGATTTGTTTTTCTTTTTTTGACATGATTAGTTTTATAAGAATACAGCCTCCTTATAATAAAAATAAGGGAAACTGAAACCAAAATTGCACAGCAAAAAGAACACTTGTTTAAGCTTCTTCAAAATGAAGGATTCAGGGATCCCTGGGTGGCGCAGCGGTTTGGCGCCTGCCTTTGGCCCAGGGAGCGATCCTGGAGACCAGGGATCGAGTCCCACATCGGGCTCCCAGTGCCTGCTTCTCCCTCTGGCTGTGTCTCTGCCTCTCTCTCTCTCTCTCTCTCTCTCTCTCTCTCTCTCTCTGTGTGTGACTATCATAAATAAATAAAATAAATAAAATAAAATCTAAAAAAAAATGAAGGATTCATAAGGTTGATATTTCTGAAATCAGGCCCAACGCAAAAGAAACAAATTTAAAAAATACCGTGTTAGGTTATCATATCTATATTGAAGCCAAAAATTCCATAAAACTTTTAAGAATTAGAGAATGCGTGGTTATTCCTACATTTTTTTCACTCTTTATAACTGAATTTTTTTCATGGGTGAGTCAAAACAGATACATGTAATGAAGTTTCAGATAATCCTGTCTTGGAAAAGTTTCTGAAGATTTATTTTTGTAAGAAGCATGTCTTGATAAAACATTTGCTTGACTCTACTTATCCAACTACTTCATTAAATCTGTCCTACTTTGGGGGCAGCTGGGTGGCTTAGTTGGTTCAGGATCTGACTCTTGACTGGCTCAGGTCATGATCTCAGGGTCATGATCTCAGGGTCATGATTTCATGATCATGAAATTGAGTCCCACTCCAGGCCCTGTGCTCAGCCCTCTTCCTTTGCCCTACCCTTTCTCGTGCACACTTGCACATCTTTCTGTAAAATCAATCAATCAATCAATCTTTAAGAAAAAAAAAAGATTCACACTACCTTTGACTGCGGAAACAATAATATTGTAGTATCCTACTTTATTCTCTACCTATTTATCTCTACCTTCACACTTACACCCTTTTTATATCTTTGAAACTACATTCTCAATTGATTCTCAGTCCTCATTTATCTTGATTTTTCTCCAGCAAAAAGCACATCTCATTGAAAATCTCTTTTGATCTGGTGTCAGAAAAACATTTAAAAAAATTTTTTTCACTTACAACCCTGAGATCGAACTGAAGACAGACACTTCACTGACTGAGCCACCAAGGATCCCCAAAATCTTTAAATTTTAGAATTAGAAAAAATACAGTAAGTTACTTTCAAAGGAGCTAAACACACTGGCAGTTAAATTCTCTAAGAAACTAATGAAACCTGAAGACAATGGAATAATATATTAAAAGTGCTGAGAAAAAAATCAAGTCATAAATTATATATTCACAGAAAATAATACTCAAGAATGTAAATAAAATAAAAATATTTTCAGTTAATCAAACAAAAGATTAGAATCTATTACCAGCTAGCCCACAGTCAAGGAAAAATTAAGGTTTTCTGTTTGCATGTTTGTTTATGTTTTTTTTGTTTTTTTTGCATGTTTGTTTTTGTAGAGGAAAACTAATTTCAGAAATAACAACAAATGAAAAATAATAACCATAAGTCATTGTGGAGTTTTATCTGGATAGATTGATTGAATTAAAAATATATATCAACAGTATAAATATGAAGAGAGATAGAAATGTCATTAAATTCCTAACTAATTTATAAGGGTTTTGAAAATTTACATGCATGTTTTCATCACTAAGGCTACCAACAGATAAATGATGTAACAGTGAAAATCAACAAGCCAATAGATGGGAAAAACTGATTAACAAATCTTAATACAACAGGCAACATTTAAAAAAAAAGTTACAAAGGGTGTCTGGGTAACTTAGTTGGTTAAGCATCTGATTCTTGGTTTTGGCTCAGGTCATGAGATCAAGCCCCATGTTAGGCTCCATGCTTAGTACAAAGTCTGCTTTGGATTCTTTCCCTTTTTTCTCTCCCTACCCCTTTGAGCCTCTCCCTCTCACTCTCTCTTTCTTTACAAATAAAATAATAGATAAATAAATAAATAAATAAATAAATAAATAAATAAATAAATATTAAGAAAGAAGAAAAAAGTTTAATTGTGGATTGAAAATCATATATATCAGTAATTACATTATATGTAAATGAATGAAACCTTCCAGTTTAAAATTACAAAGATTATTAGACTGCAGTTTTGAAACATTATTTTATATGATGTTTAAAATGTAAAAATCAAAAATATAAGGATGCATAAAGGCTAAAAATAAAATAATAAAAATATATATTATGCAAACACTAATAAAAACATCTATCATAGCTATATAAATATTAGGTAGTGTATATTGAGGCAACAATATTAGAGATTGTATTAATCAGAGTTCTCCAGAGAAACATCCCATAAGGAGATATTTTAGATTAGATAGATAGATAGATAGATAGATAGATAGATAGATAGATGATAGATAGATACATGATAGATAGATACATGATAGATAGATAGAGATGGATGATAGAGATGGATGATAGATGATGATAATGATGATAGATGATACATACATACATACATACATACATACATACATACATAAACGGATTTCAAGAAATGGGCTTACATATTGTGGGGGCTAGGAAGTCTGAAATCTGGAGGGCAAGCCAGCAAACAGGAAACTCTGACAGGATCTAATATTGCAGTTCATAGGCAGAATTTCTCCTTTTGAAGAGAAAACCTAGGTTTTTGCTTCTATGTCCTTACAACCGATTCGATGAGGCCCACTAAAGTTATCACACTTAATCTCTATTATTTAAAGCCAACTAATTATAGGTATTAACATCTGGAAAATATTTTACAACTTATATTAATGTTCAGTTGAATAAGTGGGTACTATAGCTAGTCCAAGTTGACATAAAACAATCACAGAGATAAAGGGAAATACTTTATAACACAAAGTGTTTAATTTACTGGGAAGATACAACAATACTAAATTTTCTATACATTAAATAATATAATCTCAAACCATGTAAAGCAAAAACGGATGGAGATGGAATACAAAAGGCAGAGAGATAAACCCATAATTACCTTGCAAATTTTTTAAATTTAAAAGCTCACTGGGGATCCTTGGGTGGCTCAGCGGTTTGGCGCCTGCCTTCGGTCCAGGGCGTGATCCTGGAGTCCTAGGATCAAGTCCCGCGTCGGGCTCCTTGAATGAAGCCTGCTTCTCCCCCTGCCTGTGTCTCTGCCCCTCTCTCTCTCTCACTGTGTGTCTCACATTAATAAATAAATAAAATCTTAAAAAAAAATAGATAAAAGCTCACTAACAGAATAGTTAACCCCAAATCATTAAACATATAATCAATTTTAAGAACAGGATTAATGAACTTGAACTAATTAAGATGTATAAAATATCAAACTTATCAATTTCAAAATACATATTATTTTCAAATACATTGTAATATTTACAAAAATTGGCCATATATGTATATGCAGGTCCATAATCAAGTCTCAAAAATTTCGTAAGATTAAATTCTACAGAATATATTTTTAACCAAGGTAAAATAAATAACAAAAAGTTAACTGGAAAATTCCTGTATGTTTGAAAATGAAGACATATGTTTGTTTATACAATTCATAGGTTAAAAAAACATGAAAATGGAAAATAGAAACTATTTTGATGTGAATAATGGTAAAAAAAATTTCTAGGATGCAGCTAAAGGCATGTTGAAAGGGAAATGTATAATCTGCAATCATAAATTATTTTAAAAAAGACTATGCATCCATTTCATGATTTCGGAAAAATAATTCATTAATATCAAAAAAAGTGTAAAAGAAAAAAATAATTTGAAAGGAAATAAGTGAAGACATTAATAAGATAGAAAAATATTTACATATATTTGAAAAAATATGACCCCTGATAAAAATAATAAAGAAAAATTAAGATGCAGATATCTAATGTCACAAATAAAAAAGGGAACATCACTACAATGCTACAGTTAAGTCAAATG